TTTGATTGAATGGCTCAAGGGCGAAGGTGTTTATGACGACCGCGATAAAGTGGTGGAATGCGTTGCATTGGAGCAATTCTACCGCTGCATCGAGGAGGATGTCAAACTTTGGCTGCAGGACAAACTTGGTGAAGTACAGCTAAACAAGGCAGCAGAGTTAGCTGAGGAGTATTATACTCGCCGAAAGTTGCATAGCAGGGCAGTGCGCGTTGAAAAGGATGAAAGGAAAGAGGGCTTTTCAAGGAAACCTGATCAACGGAAACCCGTTCCGCACCGTAATTTCAAAAAGGACCCGTCTCTTACGAAGGACAGTGTAGGGGAAGGGCAAACAGAAGCGGAGAGATCGAGTGAGGTTTCTACCACACAGTCATTTGAATCGGAAAACAAACGGAAGCCGCTAATCTGCTACAACTGCAAAAAGGAAGGACACATCGCGAGAAACTGTCAGGAAAAATTTGCCTTCGCAACAATCCGAGAATCAGAAAAAAACATGCGGTTGTTGGAGCCGTATCTCCAAGAAATTAGGGTGAATGAGAAAACGTGCCGAGCACTTAGAGACTCAGCGGCAACCATGGACGTTGTCCATCCTTCATTGGTGTCTCCGGATGACTTCACAGGAGAATGCGCGTGGATCAGGCAAGTCGCCGAGGAGCAGAGTGTTCGCTTACCAATCGCCACGGTTGTCATTGAAGGCCCGTTCGGTAAGCTTTGCACCGAAGCAGCTGTGTCTGCCGCGCTAAATGATCGTTTTCCTTATCTATTCTCCAACAACTCAGAGCAGCTTCTCAAAGAGCAGGGCAAATCGTTCTTCCCCAACTTAGCGTGCATGGCTCTCACGCGATCGCAAGCGCGAAAGCTTTCGCGGAAGCTGGACTTGGTTCCATGCGGTGAACTCTCAAGTGACCTTGTCGGCGGGTCGACGGAACCCCAAAAAGGAAATTTTCCGCATGAGTCATGTGAGCAGTCACGCGAGCGGCCCGTCGCGGGAGCGGCCGGCGCGGTATGCTCTGGGGGAGACGACGTGGCGCCTTTGAGTCAGAGCGAGAGGGATGCAACGCTCTCGCCTGTAGCGGAAAGTTGGAGCGAGCTGCCGAGAGTTGATCGAGAGACGCTCATTCGAGGGCAGAGTGAGGATCTCTCGATTGAAGCGCTAGTGGAAAGCCAAATTGAAGCGCTCGTGGAAAGCCAGAAAAACGCGGCAAAAGTGCTGTCGAAGGAGCACTACGAGAAATCGGGGAAGAAGCGCGCTTTTGAAGTTGATAATCAGGTAATGCGGCTGCAGCCACCCAAAAGGAACAAGCTTGAGGTTGATTGGGAAGGGCCCGCCAAAGTATATCGAAGCCTTGCGATACAAATTATGAAGTGAAATTAGGAAGGCGGCCGGACAAAATTTACAACTTGATGAAACCATACGTTCAACATCAAGCGATCGTAAATCTGTTGTTGAATGCTTCAGAGGAAGAGGAAGCAGAAAGTTTGAGTTCTAGTGAGGTAATCGAAGGGGGATCGAAAGTAATCCGGGAGCAGATAAACCTAGAGCCTAGCTTAAGTGAAGGAGGACCTGAGAAAGAGGACCTGAGAAAGATTGGTTCCGAGTTTGAAGACGTGTTTTCGGACTGCCCCGGAAACATGAGGGTGATCGAACACGATATCGAGCTAAGCGGTGAGGAGTCAATCCGTAGCAAGCCGTATCGTTGTTCCCCTGTGCCACGTCGAAAGTGTGAGCCGCTCTTGGTGCCGCATAGGTATCGTCGCCTAAAAGTGGCCGGTTACTGAAGTGGAGCATGTTGCTCCACAGCGCAACTTTGACGTTCGCTAAAGAAAAAAAAAGGTAAACGCTAATGCAGGTGCATTGAGCAGTGCGTTCCAGCTAGTAACTTCTCAACCTTTCGGTTTCTCGCTGGCGATTCGGGGCAAAATTTTGACCTCATCACGACCTGGGCTGAGCGCTCTCGTTCAGAGTGATCTCAAGGGGCCAACTTTGTGGTATTCTAATTCGTTACGTTGTTGTACGTGGAAACAAAAAAAATTGAGTTGTCATTTTAAGGGTCTTTTGTCCCACATGTGCCTCTTGATGTAGAGGGAACAAAATTCCGATAGACACGTAGATAGGTATATGTTGTACTATACTTTGTCTGGTGTTCTGTCGGGTGACCGAGGGCACTTGCTTGTGTCGTGTGTTGTCTGTTGTCGAACCGTTCTTAGCAAGTTGCAGAACCATCGACAAGTGCTGAAACCGAAAATGGTCAGAAGAGACGAGCGAAGTTGGCCAGCAAGTTGTGGCGACAAGCCAGTGGAGCGGGGATCCGTCGTCAATGATGGGATGTGTTCCCGGAACAGTCTGGAGCTGTATTCTCCCCATGGCCCTGGAGGCGAACCTGGAGGGACCTGGCGAACGAGCGCACCTGACATCCGAGCCCCGTGGAAGCAGCTCGTCTTTCCGGTGCATTGTCTGGCGGCGGGGGTGCTGTTATGCCAGCGAGTCCTCGTCAAACGTCCGTGCCTCTGAAACAGGCAATCTGGGTCAAGGCCAGCCCGCAGCCCGCCGGGCGCGAACAACTCCACGGCGTGAACACGCGCGGCGCATCTGTGGCCCACGTGCATTGAGTCAGCGTCGCACGTGACAGCGAGCCGGCGTCCTCATGTCTGGTGGCCTGACGCATCGCGCGGCGAACCCCATTGGAGGAGCCTGCTCTGAAGACCAGCGGCGCTTCTGATTGGACATTTAGTTGGGCCCGGTGGAAATAAAAGAAGCCCTGCGGCGTGTCGCGATCAGCGGTTTTAGGCGAAAGACTGACCTATGTGTTAGAGAGAGGAGCTCGGCTCTTCGAGTCTCTGCCGGCCCCAGTGCCGAAATTGTAACGCCTCTGTATATATGCTGTACATAAACCTTGTTTAACTCACCGTCGTCTCGTCCGCTCGTCTCCTCAGCTCTGCGCAGAAGCAGTCGCGAGCTGAGAAGCATACGCTACCAAACGGCTGGTGACCTTCCCGGCGGAGTTGAAAGCAGTGGCGCCTCCGGGGCCGTGTTGGCGTCGCCGTCTTTCGCAACAGTGGTGGCTTCGGCGGGATCGGTCCGCCGTTTCGCAACAGTGGTGGCTTCGGCGGGATCGGTCCGCCGTTTCTCAACACCGCCGAGCAACGGTGGTATGGGATGGCAGAGAGGCGAAAATTACTTACTGTCCTCGAGGGCTCGTTCACGGCTACTGCCTTCCTGCGACATGCAATATCTACACAACCCTTCCCCGAACCCATTTGCCTCCCTAAAAAAAATACAGCACTAAAATGCGAGAGAGAAAGAGAGAGAGAGAGAGAGATGTGATTGCACGAAGAGAAGAAAAGGCGCCAGTTCGTGCAACCCTTGAAGTAGAACGGCTCAGCGCCTTGGGGAAGGGTATAACATGCGGGTGGAGAAATTCACTCTGTGACGCACACACACACAAAAAAAGCAACGCTATACAGATGAATAACACCATGGAAGACTAGTTTTGAAAACGCTCAACGCATCGTTTATTTAACAATGTTACAATCGTAGTCTGTGATTTTATATATTCAAAAATACGCAAGAAATTTTTTTTAAATACACGCAAGAATGAGGCTCACGTTCGAAACAAGCACAAAAGTGGGGACACTTGTGGGGAATGTGCGTATGAACAAGTGAGTCTAGAACTGCACGGTGCTTTCCGTGGTCAGGGAGAGGGGACACGTGCGAGATGGATTTAAATAGAAAGGGAAATAATGCGAAGGAGCAAAGAAATGTGGACAGTGGCGACGCGTTTCGGTGCTCTTCCCCCTCTCGGATCGAGATCAACGGCTAAGTAGAAGCTAGCCGCATGTCAAACGTTTCAATGCAGAGTGTTTACGCTACAATGAGACTGTTGGGAACCTTGCCTTCCCTGCGAGTGCTAGCCTTAGACTGCCTCTCTCAATTTTATGTTAAAAAACAAGTGCATTCTTGAAAGATTATGCTCTTCAGAAACAATCGTCATCTTTCTCGCGGGAAATTTCCTTAACTCAGCACATTCCTGTTAACAACGTTGTATCCGGTTGTATTTCCGCACTTCGTTCATTACCTGAAAGTGTCGGGAGCACAACAATAAAGAAAGGAAGTGCGCGTTGTATACATACATTTATGCTAATGACGATCTCTCGGGTTTTACGTGCCCAAACCACGATATGATTTTCAGGCACGCCGTAGTGGGGGGGGGGGGGGGGACCCTGGAATCACATCGACCATCTGGGTATATTTAAGGTGCACCTTAATTGAAGCGCCCGTCTACGATTATTCTAGGGACGAATAAACTCAAAAGTATTTTCCTTGCATCGCAGCGCAAGCAGAAGCGCACTTACTTTTTGTCAGTTCAGTAGCTTGGCTACTTAGGTTAAAACCCCATTTCCGCGAGCGCGAAGCAAATGATATTTTTTTAATGAAATAAAATCTTTCTGCGGGTACGACTTCGGTTTTTGAAAAAAAAAAAGTGTGGCCTACGGCTACAACAGCGGGCTGGTTATGCATTACTACCTCGACAAAGCGAGTGAACGGGCATGCTTATATTATTGCATCTTTAATGTGCTCTTTCCTATCACTTCTCAGTCTTTCTCCTGTCGATCGTCTCTATGTGCATCTGCACTGCAATTACTAGGCTGTTGTGAGAAAGCTTCGAAATGTCACGTGGCCTGATCAAAGACTTCCTAAATGTCAAGCTTTCACTTGGCGCGCGTTTTGAATTGGTAGCAATTAAAATAAAAAGTGTCGTTAAACCTGCTGCGAATCTGTGAATAGGACCTTTATAAGATATCCAAGTCGCAATGATGCTTCTGAGGCGATTTATCCACACGATACGCCGAGTGACCGATGGGAAAAGGGACCGACAGATGGGGGAACAATCCTGCGCCCTTCAATTCGAGTGCATATCATGCACTGCAGTAAACGCACATTGCGTACAGCGAAAACGATGTGTACGATACAGTAGTCTTTCGCATTTTTTTTAAAATTTTCCATCGCACCAAAAAGAAACGTGTGGTTCGTTATTCGCTTACGCTCGCTAAAAAAAAAAACACTCATAATTGAAGCAAGCTACACGTAAAGCTTGCACTGGTCACGTGAAGCCGCTGCTGGTCCAGCGAAAAGCGCCACTATAGGATCCAGTGGCACGCCAACTGTTGGCTGAGCGCCACTGTGACTTCGTTTACACCAACTCGACGCAACGCATGTTGAGTCTGAAGCCGTGCTGACCCAGCCAGACTCGACCGCGTTTGCATACACTGATAAGTCAAGATGTGGGAGAGCACGCTCAGCGGACAGGGTGGTCTTCTTTGTCGTCTTCTGTACGCGGAACGTCTGACCCTTGAATTGTTTGCTACGTAGCAATATTATCAGTCGGGATAAAGTTTGATGGGCGAGTTACCCAAACTCGCATTGACGCTCAGATTGCTAGCGTTATGAGCCGGGTTTTGATCCTTCAGGCCGAGTCAACACGCATCTGTCCAGTTCGCTTCACTAGGACTAATTGTGTCGGAAGCGTCACTTGGCGTGTATATAGTGTAGCTTCATGTACTGGCTGTGAACAAGGCTTGTACAGCATCTCAAAAGCAGCGACAACGGTGACAGTTAACAGCCTTTGCACTATCCCCTACAAGTTAGTTGAGTACTTCAGGACGATGTTCACATGAAATTGTGCGCTCTATTGCTACGCTTTGTCGCCAAATGTCTACAAACAAAAGAGCACCGGCATGACCCTTGCCATATTCACATAATCTAACGGTCGATTATGTTTTTCCACCCTTATGCGCATCAGTCTCAGCAGGTGGGGCTGTGAATACTTAAAATGTCATGTGTATCGTGAGTAACGGCACAAACTCAAGCGGCGATCCTAACAGCGCATGGAAGAAAGGGCAGAGAAACATCGCTCGGAAAGCGTTTTGGACGGGGGCAACAAGTATCAGTTACCTTAGAACAAATGCACCCACTCCGATTGGACGAGCCTCAGGACGGATTTAATGCACATCAGAAAAAAAGCGCGGGAAATTCGATGGCACCCAACGGTTGCAAACAGATCCCCCGTATCGTAGTTTCCTCCTTTTTCAGCAGGTACGAGGTTGGTAAATACAAAACACTTGCTGCAGAGCATAAATGTGAACGCCCCAGGAATGCATAAGGCACCGAATGTTCGCACCCTTTAGCATGAGTGGCGCGACAATATTTTTCCTCTAGGGAAAATTGGGCGCGTGGAAGAATGGCCGCTACATTGCGATGTATACCTGTATTTCTGCAGTCCATCAATGTAGCACTACTGAACCGCACAACCTTAAAGGGGAACTGCTGTAAGGTCAGCTTTCAGCTGCACCAGCGTGGGGTGGGGTTTGAATTTCTAGAGGCAGGTTCAAAAATTTCTAGAGGGTCTTTACCCCTGCCCCTTTGGTGCAAGCCTTTTAATTTAACGGTCAGAGAACTCTCGTCCCTGTCTTGTCAGCGAAGGAAACGATGAGCATGGTACGAATGAGCATGAGATATCTCAGGGTCACCAAGAAATCTAGCGGCTTAGAGAATTAGCAGCTTTGCCAAAATTGTTTCAACTCTGATCAGCAAGTTCAGCCTATATGATATTTCGATGGATCAAGTCTTCAAAGGGAACGAGGTAGAAGGATACAGTCACACTGAAATTGAATTTGAAAGCAAACGAACATTCGAAGACTTTTCTTCTGTCCACCGTGTTCCCTTGAACATGGTCGAAATAACAACGTGGGTACACAACCGGTCAGTATCAATTTCACTCTTCGGATCGGAAAACCGTGGTGACTATGAAATCTGGGTCAGATTTTATACAGCCGTGCCCCTCAGAAATGGTACGTTGCTCAGTGAGGACTTAACAGGTCCCTTTAGTCTTGTTATTGGTGCTTTAAAACACTGCCGCACGGAGGAACGCACGTGCGCACAGCCTCAACTGGTGGTTCGAAGAGTGAAATGCACGAAAAGCGACGACGAAGAATCGCCACGTGCGTAGCTCTCTCGCTCACGAAAAATTCTCCTTAATTAGCTGCGACACAATCCAGATAAGGACCGTGCATATCGGGGAAACGCTAGGGAGAAGCAGCCACACTATTTGCGCATGCGCAGTCACACTATCCTTACACAGCGCGCCGCCAGAGGCGGGGAAAAAGCCACAGGCTGGAAGAGGACAGGGAAAGCCTGATCAGGTACTGGCTCAGTGCGGAGAAGATGGGGGAAAGTGCCAGAAGTAAAAGCCACTTGGAATGGTTTGTACTAGAATGCCCACAGCCCCGATGCGCGTGTACACGCGAAATACACACACACTTACATAAAACATACACACACACACGCCGACACACACATATATATACTCATATCTATATATATGTATATCAAGGCTCGTAGTGAACCGCCTGGTTCGAATGCTTTTATCACAGTGGGAATAGAAGAAACATTAAACGCTTAAAAACAACGACATTTTGAAACATGCGTATGAAGGCCTCTCTTGGAATGGTTGGTGAATTTTGTACAATGATGATTCAGGCCACCAGTGAGCAGCGATTGTGTTCGTGGCACAGCAATTTGGACGGGGAGGCTGCGCGACGAGACCAGGGCCTTTGGCGCCAGCGACGACCCTGTTAGCAACATCGTCTTCTGGCGGGACTCTCGGACAAGCACTGTAGCTGCACGGAGCAGGCACTGATGGCAGCACGAGACGTAATACTGGTGGCGGCTCGGACCGGACGAGTCGCCCAGCCAATGGCGTCCCGCCAAAGGACACTCCTGTGGCGCCATCCCTCGGGTAGGCGGCGCAAAAGACAAGAGTGGAGGAATGTCTTACGAAAAGGCACAACTTTTGGTAGCGATGCAGAATGTTCGGTGGTCCAAGTCTGAGAAGGGCAAATAGGAACATTGGAAACAGGATACGCGAAGACGAGGAGGAACGAGTTAGAAGACCGACAGATCGCAACGAGACGCTTGGCTGTCTTCTGCAATGCCCTTAGTGAATCGGGAGAGGGATAAAACACAGTAAAAAGACAGATGGGGCCACAGTGGTCCCTACTATTACAAAGAGCAGGCTCACACAAGTTTCCCTGTCGTTCTCTCTATCTCTGTGGTCCATAAGCGTCCTTCTGTAGGGGGCATATATTACACAGTATTACAGCTCTCGGCACACGCACACAAACAGGCACACACACTGCGAACTTTGTTCCGGCGGCGAGTCCCTATGAACACGTGGACGGCTGGTTAAAGGGGCTGGGGGCATCACTTCTTGGCGCTCCGCAGATCGAGTGGGATCTCAGCGCCGGAAGAACATGGCGCCTGCAGCGCGGGCTTGACGTCACTGTCCTGGGTGTCAAGCTCTTCGGCGTGACCGCCGGCAGGCGAGGCACTCGGGGAGCATGGCTTGCGCACTGAGAGGTCGATGGGTCGCTCCTGCTCGGGCAGGTCGGCCAGACACTCGCCATTTACGAGCAACGTTGACGGGTGAAGTAGGTCCCGGTATGGCTTCAGGGCCCCGAAAGGCATAAAGCGCGGCGAGTAGGGATACGCCATGGCACCACCAGCGTCGGCGAAAAACTTCGACAGGCCGTTGTGCGACACTGGGGCTTTGCCGAAGAAGACGCCTGCGCCAGGGTGGAAGAAGAACTTGCTCGGATGCAGTGGCGAGATCGGCGATACGGGCGACATGGAATGGTAGGCCAGCGCATCCGCGTTGGTCGGGCTCTCGCCGTTCGATGACTTGGTTTCAAAAGCCGATGGCGTGGATGCGAACGTGCTGGCCGACGACGATGGCGGAGGATAGGACGCTGGTGACGACGGCGGCTTGTCCGAAGACGAGAGTGGCGAGCTGGCGCCATTGCCTTCTTCGGCCTTGGCGCCGAAGCCCCCCAAAACGTCCTTGTCGTAGAGCGCCGTGAGCTGGTGCGCCGACGCGGCTGCGCCCAGTTGGTGGTGCTGTTCGGCGATGCGGGAGCTCATCTCCGCCTGGTCCTGGATCAGGCAGTGGATCTTGAACCAGTTGGATCGGCGCCCGTATCGGGACCCTGCAAGTGGTACTTCATCATCTACGTGATCGCGTATGGTGTGCTAGCCGTGTAAGGCTGACATATTGTGAATTCGGACAATGTGATACTTACCGGTGGTTTTACACACTCTTGACGACCAGATCAAATTACGCCGCCACATAATATAAACGAAAAAAGGTTAAAGAAAACTATCGCTGCGCACAAAATTGCCCAACTGTGCTCCTTAGTCCACTCTTTGTCTTGGTGATTACAACGTCCTGACTTACAATTCGCTTTCACTAACAATTACTTTGCACAGCAAGGCCTACCATCCCGTCGCTATGTCTACGTGTGACAACAAATTTGGGAGGTAAGAAGCGAAAACACGTCTGGCCAGTTCTCGGAGAATAATAGTCAATTCACAGGCAGCGTGGGTGGGTGGTCAATTCCACAAGGCAATTACATTCACATTTAATTTACTGGAGACCGCTGTGGACACACATTCGTTTCGTGACCCATCTGAACAACATTAGACCGGACGCAGGCTAGATTTTATTTCGAAGAAGGGGTGCCGGCCCTCTATGTGTATGTGCCCGCGCGTGTTTGTATGTGTACATATGTATGTGCATACACAAAACTAAAAATTCTCGAGAGGGTTAAGAACTTGCTCATCGCAGCTAATACATACCGCTTTTGGACATGCCGACCATGAGACATTTCTTGAGTCTACAGCTCTTGCAGGAGGTCCTGTTCTTCTTGTTGATAACACACTGGCCGCTGTTCTTGCACTCGCCAAGAGCTGCAAGGTTGTTGTACGTCCGGCCGAAGAAGGACTGCAGAGAAAGATTTAAAGTCATTTATACAGCTTTGCTTTAATACTGTGCCGCACTGACTGAACTGTTTCATGATAAATAAAATGCTAAGAGAGATGGAGAGGGAAGAGTAGATAAGATAAAAGGAGTCGGCCGGTATCCTGGCAGACTTGAAGAGAAAGAAATGAACGTGAGTAGGTCACGTCATAAGGACAGATCAGCTATGGTCAATCAGAATGGATAAAGTGAGATTGGAAGTGCATTCGAGGTTGAAAAATGGTCAGCGGCGAAATTAAAAAATCAAGAACCCCAAGGGGTCGATATTTCCGGAGCCCTCCATTACGACGTCTCTCATAAATTCATATGGCGGTTTTGGGACGTTAAACCGCACATATCGATCAAAGGAATGAATAAATTCGCAGGCATGAAATGTAATTAGATAGCGCGGGACAAGGTGTGTTCCGCAGGAGGGGACACACCACTGGGAGGGAACTGCGTCTTGCAGTAGCCACTAGAGTGACGACTGCGAGACCATGTCTATACGAAGACGACGCCCCGATTGGCGTGCATCATGACGCGGTGGCATACGGCATTGCGAAACTGCAGCGGACACATTGAGTGGTATGCTTCGCTAACTACAGGTGAACAGAGAAGACACAAAGAAAGCAAAATCAGACAGGACGCCAAACATCAACACCAGGTTAGGTCTCTCAAAACGCAAATACGGAAATGGAAGTCAATGTGCACGCGTGCACAAAGGAAGTAAAAACAGCTGGACGGAGCTCCACGCCACAGTCTTGAAGTACAGTCGAGAAGTATATTCATGGGAAATATGACCTCACCCTGTGATAAGAAAACGGTAATTCCTTGTTGCTGAGCGCGCGGAGAGTAAGGGCGTTCAACGGGCAAGAGTAGAGCGTATGGCAAGCACCGACCATGACGAGGGCGCCACCACAAAACAACGCTAACAAAGCAGTGCATGTTGTAGCTCCGGAAGTCGTCGGCGTAAACAGTGCCGGGAGAGACGGTCAGAAGAAGATGACTTCTGAAGAGAAAGGCAGAATCGACAGATGGTGCATTCAGACGACAGAACGAATCCGGTATTGTAGAGGTTGATAGCGGTACAATTTTATTTCTGATCCTTTTGTGTGCGTGCCTGCTGCCGGCAGCGTGCCCTGGATGACGGAGGTGCCATATCAAACGTTACACGTGCAAACTTGCCCGGGGATGTCCCGATTTTCCAGTCTTGGGGTACTTTACCGTTCGGCTCTAAATGCGAGAGCCCTTTCGCCCCAGGAATGCGGTACGGGTCTAGCGACCTCTGCGGGTATGACGGGGCCACCGCGCGCTGCGCAATGTGGGCCGGCGACGCTGGCTGCTACGAGGCAGCGGGGCTTTCGCGAGGCGCCGAGGTCGCGACCGGCGTGCGCCGTGTTTGCGCCGCTCAAACAGCCGTCGAAGCGAGCGCAGTGCACCGGGGGTCTCGACTCTACGCGGCGTCCTCGAACTTGCGCAAACAGCGTCGGGCGCAGGTGGCCGACCTGAGTAGCCGCGCCGATGGTCTGGTCGCCCTGGTCAAACAGCCGCCCGGGCGCCGTTAAAACGAGCGCGCTTCCCTTTAACGAGCGCCGCCGCTACTGGTGGCGCGCGCGAGCACCTGCGGCCGATTAATTGCTTTGGTCAGTCGCGCATGAACGCCCGCGGGCTGCATCGGCACGGCACACGCTCCACTGGCTTCATTCAAAGGCGCGCGCGCGTTCCCCATTCACCGGCAGCCAAGTTCAAGGTGGCTGCGCCGCGTGGGAACGAGTGTCCGCGACCGCAAGTTGGCCCCCGTCCGAAATCGGCGAGCGCAAGTCCAGCGAACGCACTTCCGATGCTGTGGCGCTCACACGCGGGAGGTATACATGGAAACAACCTTAGCTGAACGCGACGACCAACACTTGGGAATTCGGAAAGCCCATCACAGCCGTACATAAACAGCGTGTAAATTTGCTCGGCGTGAGAATAGAAGAATCGGGAATCTATGTGTCAACCTCAGCAAGTCGTTCAAACGCATCTACAGCTCTCACCTGTGCAAACTTTCGGTGTATTGTCACCCGAAAACAATCTCTTCTGCGACAAGTAAAATGAAAAAAAAACGAAAAAAAATGAAGAAACTACAGGAAAAAATCATCGACGGTTACGATATTGCCTAACGCGAATTAAACAGTATCGCGGGCTAGCGCAGCTGAGTAATTAGGCAGAGCGCAGCTGTTTAGGTGTTTTGATATTGCGATAAGTTCATGCAAACAATTTGAGAGAGACATGTATGTGTGTAGAGTTGCACAGCATTTTTTCGTAATTTTCCACAGCTCGTTCTCTCTCTCTATCTCCAAGGAACGCTTGTCTGACAGTGTTATTGCAATGAAGGAACCCTTGTGGTCGGAGAAGCGAGTGGATATGTTCGACTTTGTGCGCAAATGCCAGGTCCTCAAAGATGAGGTATGCAACTGTTTGGCGAGGTCGTCACATCAGTGCAATCAGTTAGCAGGAAGAAGAGCACGGTGTTCTCGAGCATAAGTGGTAGGAAAGTCTTGTTTGTCTTTATGTCTATATTAAAGTCACTCGCGGGGTCTTCACGGCGACGCATTACTTGACTTTTGCATCGTGTCGGAGATGTAGAGCCTCTTACTCGGGCACCTCGCTCAGCAGCGGCGGCAGACGACGCATTCTCACGAGTTGCATCACACATTGTTTATAAAAAGAACTGAAAGAGACTATTTTGAATGTAAACTCCACTCAGGGTTGGCACTGGTGGCTACTTTTCGCCATATTGGCGAATTTGAGAGGCCCGCGGCGATCTAAAATCATATATGAACAGCGGCATGGCTAATTTTTTGGCGATTTTCGAATTAGGTGTCGATTGAGTTATGCATTCGATACCCAGAGTCTTAAAAACAAATGGCCGACAAAGCTGTTTCTATTTTTTGTAGTTTCAGACCTACCAGTACATGGCGCACTTGAACGCACAATTTAGTATGTCGGTCGTGTTTCTCGTGTGTATACTCCTAACTACCTATGGAGGTAGTGGCGCACTGGTGCGTCCGCCAGCAATTTCCCAGCAAAATTTAGGCCTGTGGACTGCTTCGCGTGCGGCGAGGCGGTGGTGTTATATTATACATTTTCAGGTGCTTTTAGTTCTTCTTCAAAGTTTCGCTTCTGAAGTGGCTATAGGAGACGGTAAGGCTGCGTGTTCAAACCACAGCTTCAACTGTCGGGAATGGCTTGTAAACTTCTTCCGTGCTGTAGTACCACCCTAATTTTGTATATTGAGCTTAAATTTGTTTCTAGGATACTTTTTATATGAGTCAACCTTCTTTGGGCCGCCTTCAGAAATCGCAGTGAGGTAAATGTACATCGTGACCACCCATAAAGCGTTGTGCGGGCATTGCGATGGTTACTCAATAATTCCGCATTTATTTCTGTTGTTTTGTAATTGGGTTATTCGATTATTGGATACATGATTCCACGGTAATGAAATTCTCTAAATCTGTAGGAAGGCTACGCACGTCAATCTCTTGTTGTAGGGATAGCTTTATCCGGCGTTTGCTACAACGGAAGCCATCACAAGCTTTTGTTATGAGGCGCTAGCATTCAGGCACGCTGCTAGTGCATGCATGCTATTTTTTAGGGCTCCCATGGTGAAGCAGGTGATATGACTGGCTTTGAAAAAAAGTCAATATAATTTAGGTCTTATGGTTTCTACCGCACTCCTTGCGGCTATACATAATTAGGAATTTTTATTACTAGCCATGCTACACATGTATAGACTGCCGACGTTTTGGGCGAAATTTGGAGGAAAATGGCGACTTTTCGCGACATTTCGCTCGTCGCTTGGCGAACTTCCCTCGAAAGTCAGAGGCAACCCTGACTCCGCTTCACACGACGTGTGCAACGTTGTGGAACTTGGACCAACGCACGCCTTTTTCCTTGCTTGCCCGATTTGAGCGGCACATACAATGTTTTGTTGGACATGTGGCACTACTCGTTCATGTGGCACGCACTCGTTCGCGCGGTTAACGCCACTGCCGGCGACGCCGCTCAACGCAGGATCTGTGCTCTAAAACGAGGAAGCACTAACTATTAAGGCGCGTTCGCGTAATAAACAGCAGCCGATATTAAATGAACTGTGCATACAGTTGATGAGCAACACCCGTTCCGCCCTCCCGACTATTCATCGCACTTGGTGCTATCTTTGCAGAGAGAGAAAGTCGTGGTAGCATGAACAGGTATACGCCCTATAGCTTGCAGTCATCAGGTAGGCTTGCCTTCGAGGCTTGCGCGACCGCAGAGGAAGCTGAACGACGGCCACCGAAAAAGAGCGCCTCTCGGGGCGTCATTATTAATGCGGCGTGACCCACCTAGTTACGGGTCGCGCCTCTTCGATGCATTCCCGTGCCACTCTCCGCTGGCGCATCCGCCGCCTCGTCGCTTTCGTCAGTGGCAGCCGATGTATGTGCCCCGTCAACACTACGCCTGCACAACGCTCCGAAGGTCACCCTCCCGCCATGTTCCCGGCACATCGACGCCGATTGGCAGCCCAGTGACCTGCAGCGCGCGAGTGGTCCTCGGCGCGCGCCTTGTGAAACCACGAGCGAAGCGCCTGAAATATTGCACACCCACACCGGTTCGCAAATGTTTCTGCCGCGCCGTTGCCTATACGGTATGAGGTCATTCCGAAATGAACGCAAGAATTATGCGCTCGAGCTACCTCTGACACTCTTCAGTTTTCTGATTAGGAACTCAAGGCAAGAAGCCCCAAGGCATCGAATAGATGCGAAATCGGCTGTCTCTGATGGGGCTAACTTTGGAGTAATTGTATCTAGAACAAGAAATCACTTACGGTTCTTCCGCGCATCTACATGTCTTCAGGAACTTCATGGCCCATGAAAAGTTTTTTGTGCCTATCCAAATCTGGATTCGTTCCGTCTTCTGAATCTACCATAATGGTGCATTCAGACGACAGAACGAATCTGGAT